TTGAGGTTGCCTTGCTGGCTGGTGGTGTGATGCTCGTTTTCACTGCTGTTAGGAATCTCTGAATGGCCTTAACGAGAGCCATGATAATTTTATCCTCCCCTGGTAGTAGGGAATGTCTAAGTAGGAGCTAGAACTCGGGAATGAAACTCTTGCCTCTCTTGTATTAATTGTCGATCAGTAAAACGAGTATATTTAACAGGGAATGATAATGTTTCTTCATTAAGATTTACAGTCTCAATATGTTGCTCTAAAAGACGATCATTTTGTTTCCAAGTGCCTGCAATGCAGAGTAATGGGCTAGATAGTCATGTTTTTGTTTAGTACTCTGAATGATCAAGTTATGAAGTTCATAATATGATAGTCTAGAAATAATTTTATTTCCTGTGGCTTTTAGAGAAAAAAAATCAGTTGAATTCTTTTTCAGAATTGAGTTAAAGCAAATTATATGTTAGACATTTGTGGTTTTTAAGCATGTAATTTATTGTAGGCTCAGAAGCCCCAATTTTTAGTGTTGTCACTAAGTCAGCCTGGCTCTCTGTTCTGCCTTGGGTAGCTATCTTTAGCTTTGAGCTGCCAAATGAAGATCTTGCCAGTTTTGTTCTAGAGGTTAAATAATTGGAGGGGGCTAAGTGTGAGTCAGAGTCTACCTACCTGTACCCAAGCTTTCCTCTCTTACTAGAATTAGAATGTAAGCAAGGAGAAGGCGATACAAAAAGTTGAAGGTTGGCCTTTAATGCAAGCTTGCGTCTCAGTTTCTGCCTCTGAAACTGCACAACTGTTTTCATGCTATGCAATCTGCTGAAAGCACCACAGCAACATTATGCATTTTAAAAACAGTTGACATACCATTTGCTGGGAAAATGTAATAGTTTTGAAACGAAACTCCTCTGTTACTTTGGGCACCTGGATATGATTTTTGGGGAAAAAGGGTAATTCACATTTCTTAAAGCTGTAGTCTACATGCACAGTGTTTGCAATGACACATTGGTTTAGCCCCTAATGGATTACAAGGACAGTTAGATTGGTAGAAATTTCAAGAAATAAGAGCACTTGAAATGACCTTACTCATCAAGGGTACACTGCAGGTAGATGTGACTTTTCTATCTGTGTTGAAAGTTTTGATAGATGTGGTAAAGAATTGTCAAGATGGGGGGAAAAAAAATGATTTGTAGTCTATGCAAAAGAAAGCTTTTGAAAAATAAGTCTCTGATAAAATTAGTAAACTTGAAGTGAAAAATTGATGGGTACAGGGTTTTATTTAAATATCCTTTATTAAAATTAATTTTAAGTTGATAAATACTGTAGTGTGCGATAACAAAGAGATGTAGAGATTCCAGAGATGTATACAGGTATGTAGTTCATACTTGCAATTACTACATATGTAGAGAGATTTGTCCCCTACTTCACAGAAAAACATTGTACCCAAGTATTCACACTATGCAAATAAGACTATGCTTTTTAAAGTCACATTCTTTAAAATGAGACTGCATAGTCAGCTAAATAGTGCTAGGTTGCCTTTATCTAAATACAGGACGGGGATTTAGAACATTAGCCTAATCAGTTCCTATTATTGTTGCAATACCTTTATCTTTACTTCCTTGCTACTGTTGTCTCTCTGCCTTTTTAGAACAATAAAGGAAACCTATTCCTTGCCTTTGCTTTGTTCTTGCTTTTTCTTATGTCACCAGCAGTTCAGATGAACTGTTCTTGCTCCCAGCTGAAGGAACACGTTCCAGGAATTAATTTTTTCATCAGGATGTGGTGCGATCCTCATGTGAGGACCCTGACTTTCCTGTTGTACTAGGGAGCGTGCAATCAAAAGCTAGTCTGATGCTAAAGTCCCTGGTCATTATCGTAAGTTTGATGGGTCAGCTCTTGGAAGTCATGGCTAAATGGGAACTATTTTCATCTCTGTTCCCTTTGCTTACCTTGATGGTCCCACATATTGCCATGGAGTAATATGCTGGGAAGGGATGTGTTTGCTGAACTGCGCACTTTCTATACCCTCCCATTAAAGTCAGAAAAGTCAATCAAGATTTATTCTAATGCAATAGAGGACAAATTTAGAGCTAATAGGTTTTGATTTTCCATTTTTTTTCCTTATAGAAAAGAACCCTACTTCGGATATGAATTTCAGCATATTATAGACTTCAAAATTAAACATTCCAGAGTCAGTCAAGTTAGAAAGTGAAGCTTTTACAGAGAGAGAAGTTTGAGATGCAAAGAGGTTGTGACTTGAATTCGTGTGCCATGTTTGTGGTGTGGTGTGATGTGGTGATTAGGCATGTAAATTTTTGGTCATGTGTATTGCAGACATCTGCTTTCCCATGTTAAGCGTAGATCAGAGATTTGTGACAAGCATTCATACAAATCTCCAATTTATGTATATAACTTTATTGCTAAGCATGTAGTATAATCATGCTATTGGAGGCATACAGATGCGTTTTGACCTGATTACGGAAAATCATGCCTTTATTTGCTCAGTGACTTCGCTATTCGTTTTTGTTTACAAGAGAAAATGACATCTCTCCAACTTTTATCTCAAACCTGACATCTCTGGAAACCAAGCTATGGTTATCCTTTTTAGGGTATGATCTTCAACTGTTAGCCTTCAAGGAGTTACAATTTAACAGATAGTTTTGTTGATGCTCTGTTGTTGTGGTCTTGAATACAGATGACATTTATACATATATATATATATAGAGAGAGAGAGAGAGAGAGAGAGAGAGAGTACTCTGAGAACTGTAGCAAAAAACTTTTTGTAAAGGAAGCATCCAGATATGGGAAGCTTGATGTGAAGCTGGAAAATCATGCATCTGTTTTCTGCTTTTTTCATTTCCTGTTTTAAAAAGAAGTTACCATTTAAAATTGATGCTTGTGAAGTGAAGAACTGCAGCTTTTCTGTTCTCCAGAAATTGATTTCCAGTTTATTTTCTTGGGTTGTCTGTGGGCTAGCTGATTTCCTATGGGAACAGTCAACAGTGCACCTTACTAAAAAACACTTTTATTATACTTTAAGGGACTCTGAGGCTATTGGATGAGAAATATTTATTTTGGTTTCATTTTACACCATTGTTGTTCTTTAATGAAAAGTTGGACTGTAAAGTTTGAGGGAACTGTATATAATTGCCAATTATTTTTTTTAACATTTTGGAAGTTCTCTTTTTATTGTAGATGTGTTTTAATTATTATTTTAGGACACTAGTATCAGCTTCAGGAAATGATCCTCTAGGATTCAGCCTACAAAATGTTTCATCTCAGATGTTGATTGTGGAACTTGTATGTCTGCGTTTGATCCAAAATGCCTCTCTCTCAGAGCACAAAGCTGCTTCTACTTAGAGACACTGGAAGTCCCAGTGCAGTAAAACTCCTAGGAAAACTGTGAAGTAAGTGTGAGCAGAACTTAGCCCACTGTTTAATTCAGAACAGTGCTCACCTAACTTTGGCTGTTCAATTACACATATTTTAATGGTGTTTAAACCTGCTGTGAAAAGTTTGAATCTAAATTCTGTCTTTAGGTGCGTTCCCATTGGGGTAGTCCATGTTCATCTAAAGGCTGAAGGAAGCCTTGAAAATGTGAAGTCTGGTTTCATAAAGAATGAGGGAGAAGGTGATTGTTACTGATTTATGAGTGGCTGTTTTGTAATGCATACTTTTAAGTTGCAACATATCAAATGCATCAGCTGCTTCAGACTTAACAAAATCTGCAGAAGTTACTATAACAGATGACTCTGAAGATGATTATCAGTATGAAGAGGTAATTTATTCAAGTGATAATCTTCATGATGTCTGTGTTACAGTATTCATGTTTTATTCTTCTGTTTTACAGAATCGGTCACAAAAAGCATCCTGTCAGGAATGACCTAAATATCCTTAAAGTGTAGTGATGCTGGGAGTATCCTTTTTTAAGAAAAAAATTTAGTGTCAGTTGATTTATGTCTTGTTTTTATTTGAAGATTAAATACTTTTTAAAAGATGCAAGTTTCAGAATATTTATTTCAGTAACTTAAAATTTAAATATGGTGAAATATCATTTTAATGAGATTGTTCTCAGCAGTTGTATTAGGAGTTGAGAGTTATATTCTGAAACAAATAATTTGTGAAATATATTGATATGATGACCCTTACTTTATATCTTTTCATTTAGGTTTCAGCAGATGATGAATTTAGTATTCAGGAAGGTGATGAGGATCTGTCAAAGGCTCTGCAGACCATTCAAGAGCAGGCTGAAGATGCCCAAATTTTAGTAAGAACTTTACTGAGTTTTTTTAAGACTCTAATTTTTTTTATTGGTTTAAAATTTTTACATCATTTAACTTAATTGTGAAATATTTGTGTGGAAAAGATTTTATTTCTGTTTCTCAAAGTAAGCATAAGCCACAGCGGCAAAGGTGACTTACATCTCCTGTTTCATCTCGCTTTACCTTTTATGCTATTCTTTTGTTCTGTATTTAATGTGTTCTATGCACAGCCCAATGTTTCAAATATATGCAATAAATATATACTATTTAAAAAATCAATGAGATATATCAATATTTTAGAGTGTGTTTCTTTAGTTGAATAGGTGGAATGAGAATGTGGTTCTCTAGCAGAGCAAAGCAGCTGCGTATGCTGAAGACCCACAGAAGCTTATGCTTGAATAACTTATGAAAGAAGATTATTTAGATATTGAAAATAACAAATAGGCTGTTACACTTTGTTAAATTAGAGTGCTAATCATCTTATTTCACACTTAGCATTAGTTTTTGATGCTTCCCATATTTACAGTTTGATTTCTAAACAGTTATCGAATAGTTCAGAGTTACACAATGGGATTGTTATACTCTGTTTTTCAAAATATGATTTACTTAATTTAGCTTATTACAATCTGATGGAAAAATGCTTCTCCCTGATGTTTCTAATATCACTATCTTATAGCCTCATTAGTAAGCCATTTTTGTAGTCTATCTTTGTTTTGAAAAAGCAAGTCATTAGTAATAATGTGAATGATTCTTAACATCAAAATGGAGGGAAAATGTTTTTTCTTCTGCACCAGTACATATCAGCAGATCAGTATTTTATATTATCTAAAACTTTGAATGAAAACGAACAATATTAAAGCCTTTGTATGTTTTAAAATCAAATATGCCTGAAAATTAAGGGAAAGCTTTAAGTTCTTCAAACCGAATATGCTTAATGTTAACCAGTAATGGAAATATGTAATGCTTAATAGGGATAACTGCAGTTACATCTGCAAATTGATATCCAAATAAAAAGTGAAGCAAGGGGGAAAATTATTTCTCTATTAATCTTTTGACAGTAGTGTAGTTAGCTGATCTGTTAAGCTCTTTGTAATTTTTGGTTTGTTGAGCTTTGAGAGGTATGAAACAATGTGCTGGTATCTATCCCATTCTATCAAAATGAAGAAGGTGCTACTTTTATTAAAACAAAGGAAAGATATATGGTTAAATTCAAATTCACTTTGATTTTTGTACTGATGCTGACAGATACCTGTCTTTTTTGATTCTTGACTCATTTGGAGGCGTCTGTTTTTTCCATGATTTTGAAATGTAAATCATATTTTCAGTATTTAGACAAATACATGAAGAAAAGTGTTTTAATAAACTCAACAGTTGCTCGACAGCTTTCATAACTATTTACTGTATATTTTGTAAGGTTCAATGACTACATTTGATGCTAAATCATTGAAAAAAACAAATGCTGCAGCAAACGCTTTTGGTGACTCAGGTAGAAGTAGTGTTTCTGTGAATTAATCAATACTCCAACACTGAGCTAAAGCGCAGCAGAAGGTCCGTTGTCTTTGTGTGTTAAATAACTGGTGCCTGTTTTTTCAACACTAGCTTCTAAGCTTGGCTAAATTCTATCTTAATTTATGCAATAGTTGTATCCTGGAATAGCTACACTGTGGAATAGCTACCCGAAAAGTTTCAAGTGATCATTGCATATATTTGCTGATCATAGTAATTTGTTTACCTAATTCTATACTGAAGATTACATTTCAATATTAGATGCAAGTCTTTTCATTAAGAAATGAAATCCTGTAAGGAAGGAAACTCAGATACACAGATCAAGTAAGCATCCAGAAATATTGTTATCGATTTGCTAAATGTAGATACTCAGTTTAGAAACTGTGGGTACTTAGAGTAACTGTAGTTTCCTTCCCTTTCTCTAAAAAGGTCAAATATAACCAGGAATACCCTACTAAAAATTCTTATTTTCAAACTTGCTTTCCAAAGTAATTAGTGCTAATTACTAAACCAAGAACAGCAAACATGAACAAATGAGAGATGGTGCTATTCACCATTTTGTGGAAGAATAAAATGACTCTATAGGAATTAAAGCTACATTCCTACAGGGAATGTTGGGGCATGTTTTCTTTCCTTCAGGATCTCTGCCTGGGTGCAGTGGAACTAGTGGCCTTTAAGGAATTTGGTAGAGCTCCATTACCTGAAGATTCCCATTTCCAGTGCACCTTTTTGTTTGGATTCCAACAGGGAAACGGGCATGGTGGAGCTGTGATCTCTAAACATCCTTTCTGCCAGGTTTGGAGCTGAAATGGCAGCTGATACAGCTATGTTGGTGAATACATTCTTAGCATAGCAGTGACTCATTGCCTACTCTTTCTGTTCCTGTTATCATTTGTCCTGTTTAGTCACAGCTCATTATTTTTTTCCCCATTATCACTCTTTTGAGGCATTATAAAGTAATACAAATTATTTTTAAATATAAGCAACAAGGTATTTTCCATATGAAGAAAAAAAATCTTGAGCTAACGGGGGCCCTAGGAAAAGGAACCAAGTTTTCCCTTCTCCACCAGAACTGTTGCAGTATGTTTTTCATTGCAACAAAAGTAGACCTTTTATTGAGATAAAGAAAGAGTCATTTGACAAAAAATTTAGCTCTTCCGGTCGATCTCAATAGCAGATAGTTAAGATATCCATGTGCTTCAAAGCCTCTTACTAGTTGTGCTGCTGATATATATTCTACTCCTATATCTGAGTAGAATGTAAGCAAATGATTTGCAGGTTAACATGTAACTAATCAAAAGGTAAGATCTGAAATGTCTTATGGTATGGTGGGGGAAAAACTTATTGTGAAGATTGGAACGCTACTCATGGGGAATTGATGGATTCTTTCATGAGACTTTAAAGAGTTGCCTAAGCATTTCTTTCCAGGTGTCGTAAGCTGTTCTTTTGTACTTTTACAATATTATACTTTCCAGTAAAGAGAGATTTTCATGATATCAGATAGGTGTATGGTAGCCTTTGTCCAGAAACTATGGTCTTTTAAATTAATGTCTTCACATGAATTTTGTTTGAAAACCCTAGCATTTTCAGTAGTAATCCTGTCGTCTTCTCCACCTACTCATTTTGCATTTAATTTCTTTTGTAGTAGAGGAAGCAAGCAAGGTAATAGTAAGGACTTTTGGGGGGGGTATTTTTTTTAAGGATTTTCACACAGAATTCTGAGGAGTATTTTGGATGATAGGCTAACTCTTTTCGTCTGTATTCATAACTTCTAGAAAAACATAAAGACTGAATTACGTTATTCACTGAATGACAATCTGAAGTTGAATTACCCTTCATTAGTTTTTATTTTGTTATGTGGATTTGATTTTTAGTTTGATCATGTTAAAAACCTTTGAATGCACTTAATTTTTTTACATTCTTGCTATTTTAGTTCAGTGAGTTTTTTCAGGACTTCTCAGGTTTGTTTTCCAGATAAGTTAATATTTTGGTTGGCCTTAATCTTTTTTCCTTGGACAAAAAAAGCTCGGATATATTGTAGAAGTGCTTAGGCTTAAGGTCTTTGCGATTAATTAATTTTATGGAGCATATTTACAGTCATTACTCTCAAAAGCTAATGAAGATTTTAATTAAAAGTAACAAAGACTTAACTATTAAATTTATTTACTTTGACTAAATGGTAAGTGATTTAAGAGGGTTTTTGTCTGTCTAGCTACTATGGGGTGTCTGATTGTATCATGTTTAAGAATAGATTATATTTTCATAATCTTTAGGTAAATACATGCAAAAAAAATTACTGTTATGCTATTCTGTGGCTAGTCATCTAAGATTAACTTGGAGGTTGGCCTAATATCTTTCAAGAAGTCTGCAACAGAGCTAGGAAATGAATCCAGGTTTCCTGAGGTCCTGTTCCACTAATGCGCCCATTAGATGGCAATCATTTTTCCCTATGCTATTCCCTGCTCAAGCTTCAGTTCCTGAAATGATTAGCAGTGGTAGTATCTAGCTAATAAATTCTCTTCTGTGTGAATCAAACAAATTCTTATTTTTCCATTTTTTAAGGAAATCAAGCTGTGCCATTTCTTCCAAAGAATGGCTTTGGGTGTTGTTGGGGAACTACAGCAACAATACTAGACATTTGCCTCACTTGGAATAAAGGAAGAAAAGAGGCACAGAACAAATGCAGTTTTATGTCTGCAAATGTTCTCTGTATGGCTCTTGTATTACTGCAATTAGAAAATAGACCTACCTAATGTACAGTATCTCTAGTAAAGAAAATTTGCTAAATATTACATTGCACTTGGCATGTTTTATGAGTCATAATAGTGTTACATGGCCTTGATCTTCATGTGCAATTCATTCTGTTTATATTAAATAGGTTGTTTTGATTAAATACGACATTTCATGTATTATACAAAACGGCTATGAGGTTTTCCAGTACAGGGAATGCTGCATATTTTTATTTTATCAAGAGAAATGCCTTCATATTCAGGTAACTTATGCAGTCATATTGGTAGGGTTCCAAGTAAGGATGTGAATAAGCCACAAATGGATGGAGTTATCAAAAATTTCTGGCCCACAGATTCTTTTTTAGTGGATTGTGAAAATAACTTGCAGTGGCTGTCTTTAGCATTTCTTGTTGAATCTCTCACTGGATTTTTTTTCCTCAGTTTTGTTAGTACTGAAATTAGGAAAAGAAAGTAGGGAGGTGTGGAAATGTTTTGTGCTTCTCTTTTCTCTATTGAGGTTTTTTTTTTTTTTTTTAAAAAAAAACCCAATATGTAGCACACATTATTTGGAGTTTCTTCCAGTAGCGCACTAAGTGATTTGATAGTTGTCGAGCATGTTTCGTCCTCTTACCAGGAGGACAGGCATGTGCAGTGGAGTATCTTGTAGCCTGCACTGTGGAGCAAGTGCACTGTGGCATTGTGCCCTATGTAAAGTTTCCTAAATGCTGAATGTTTCAGTTAGGTATATCATATTGCTGTAATCCATTTGAAGTCTGAATGACTTAGGGTCACCTCTTTGGTTGCTGAGTTGAGGCAGAATCTCTCATCTGGTTGCCTTTAAATGCCTTAGAGAAGGGAGTCTCAGAATTGGCTGTATATTACCTGTTTCATACCTTCCTGCATCTCTGGAAGCCTCACAGTGAGAGTTTAGTATCAACCTATGCGCTGAATAGGATTGAGAAAGGAAAGAAATTTCCATTGCAGCAGCAAGCTCTGGAAGGGCTTCTTTTCTACTTGATAACATTACTCTGCTTTGTTTTGATTCTGATTTTGGCAGTTGCCCTTGACCCGCGAGCTGATCTTATCTGAATAGCTGTCTATCTTGACGGCACTGGAGTAGTTGAATGTGAAGCCTTGATGCACCATCTGCATTCTGCTAGTGCTTGTAGCAGTGTTGTCTGACAGCTTCATTCGGTGGCTGCATATGGATGTTAAGAAGAAAAGGGAGAACTGATCTTTGTGGGATTTCCTAAATTAGAGATCTAATGGTGGAGGTGCAGTTCTTTCACTCTATCCACTCCGACGGCATGCATCCTTAAAAAAAAGGATGTAAGCCATTTTACCATCACCTCGGGACTGATGCATTTTTCATTAAATGAAGTAGTGTTTTCTCATCAACAGTTCTGAAGGTTGTTGAAGTGTGCAGGAGTATGAGAAGCAACATTTTCTCTCCTCTCTCAGGTGACCATCAATCAGTTTAAATAGTTTCAAGTACATATCGGATTAGATCAGATCCAGAATACTTGCTTAAATCAGGTGATCTTTGAGTGATTTCTCTATAACTTTCCACAGACCTTGACACTAGGATGTACTGGATCAGTGACTGCTGTTCTGATCAATAAAGACAAGGAAAACATTCAGCTAGGCTCCAGTAGATCTTTGATTTTAGATGATTTCAGAAAGAGAAGGTATGACAGCTACATTTCTCTTGGAGGTTTAATAATAAATTTCAAATTTTAATTTCAGGCATCGAGGTCAGCTCTTTCATCTGAGAAATCGGTGTCTGAATTACCTGAAACGGAAGATGACTTCTTTTGCAATTTCCTGGTCAGAATGGGAATGTCCAGAACCCTTGACTGCTTCCAGACTGAATGGTAAAATATTTTAAGTGACCATCTATCTTTGATAATTAGGATTCAAATATTTAAGGATGTATTTCCACAAAATTCTTTACGAGTACACTTCTTCTTAAATATGTAGTATTTTACCAAATGGATAAATGCATGTTGAGAATGAGGATGCAAACTATTGTTTTAAGGCTAAATTTTCCAAAAAGCTGAATCCAAGGAGCTCCTATATTGGTACCCTTGTGAAGGACTGTATATATTGCACCTTACTCTGGACGTTTACAAGCCTGAACTGGTCACCTCAGACTTTCTTTATCGTCAGTAGTGAGAAATGCTCATTTTTAGGATGCAACTCATCTGAATTGTTTTAGCCATCTCCTGCAAGATGAAATTAATTATTTTTGTCATGTATCTTCTGCTGTCCCCTGACTACCAAGGATGACTAGAATGAGCAGCAATGCAGAAATCATCACTTGATCTGATCAGACGAGTTCAATCCAAAATGATCAACATTTCATTTCAGTGGTACTGAGAAAACACTTGTCGCTTTCTTGCTTTCCAAAATCTGGATGCTTGCTTAAAAGCAGAATGTTTTGTGAACTGTAATATTTTCGCTTTTCTTGTCTGCATTTTCCTGGACGTGCATCACATAGATGCTTTGTATTTTGAGGTAGAATAGTTGCAATTTTTGATACTTCATAATTTTTAGTATATCAGTCAAAATGATATGGTAAATCAGTTTGAATTTTTCTCTTTTTAAAATTTAATTCGTATAGTAATCAAAAGACAACTCTTGTGCTGTTCCTGTTTTCTTTTCCCCTGTTTTTATAGATTAAGGGGATTTTTGTCAATACTTTGCACAGGAGCTTAAGAATACGCTTTCATCTATATACTCTTTCATCACTGCTCTCTTTGTATATGGACTCCTACAGGATATATATATACTTTTTAATGATTAAGAATGAACTACTAGGAGTGCAAAGCTTGAGAGCTCAATTATTATGGTGCAAAATGGTGATCCTTGTCATAAAGTTCTGTTGAAATGTTTTCTGTTGTAAGTTTGCTTTGAATCTGCCAGTTACTTTGGAAAGGTTCTGAGAATATTTTGAAATTGTGCAATTTTGAAATTAGAAAACTTAAAGTTAGAAATATCTTATTTTTTTTCTACGGAAACATGTTTGAACCTTGAGGCCCCTAATCTTGGGATTCTCCAATCATTGCTGTCAACTGTAAGACTCTGATTAGTGTAGGGCTTACTAGTCAGGCATTGCCTCTGGAATCGTTAATAATCACTTTTTGAAATAGTAACAATGCAACTAAAACAATTTCTTAGAGAGAGAGCACCATAGTTCTTTTTTTAATAAGTGACATGTATAGCATTAAATTTGAAGAAGGTTTTTATGGAAAAAGATAATACTAGGCTGATATAAACTGCAACCTTTTCATGAAACTGCAGCTTTCTCTGAAGAAGTTACTGTTTGAATTTATATCAATGGTGAAAATCAAATTGCTTTTTAACGGATCAGGAGCAGGTCTTAGCAGGTTCTATCTTGTAAATCCTTAGTTATACAAACATTTCTTCCTATATAAGTAATATTTTTAATTTCAGTAGCATTACACGAGCTCTGCATGTCAGGATCTAATCTTATTATATTAAGATTTTTTTCTGCATTAATACCTCATTTCAAAATGTTTCATGTTGGTTTGAAATAGATAATTTACAATATTAATGAGAGTGAGAGCAGATTAGTGTACTCAGGTTCCTCATTATGCATTGGGATGACTGTTTCGCTCTCGTGCTGTGGTGATCAAGTACTAATGGAATTTAAAATGAGAAATTAATTAACTTAGAGAAAATTTATCAAAAGGCCTGATTTGATATAATTGTCTGTCATAAATCTAAAGGTCAGTTAAATTGAACCAAATTATCTGTGTTTATTTCAGAGTTTGAGAAAACAGATTCTATTAAAGTATTCTATGCAGCTGTATAAAAAGTCATGCTTTGATCATGTTTTATTTTAAGGCAAACCTGCTCTTTTTCTGCTATAATGAATAATTTTATCATCTTTATTTTGACTTTTTCAATGATGTATTTTTTTTGCACATAGAAATATTTTTCTTCCAGTTATACTTTAAGGAATTTAAAATTAAACTTAAAATATTTTTAGAATATCTAATCTACCATTAACTTTTCTATTCCTTTGATGTACAAGGGCTTTAGGGCTTTTGTTGCTTATTAAAGATATTGGTTTGATGGGTCTGGAATATGAAGTGCAAGGAGTGATCAACTGTGAGTTCATGTAGCTGTCAGTCCCCATAATCCCAATGAGCTCATTGCTGCTGACAGCATGTTGCCAGTCAGATGAGCAGATGAATGAATTATTTGCTGTTGACACATGTGTGGAGTTAACACTGTTTAGTTGGTAAACTTATTTGACTGGTAATCTCTAAGTGTTTCTAGAGACCTGGCAATGTTTCAATATGTGAGTACAAGTTGATCTGCAGGCTCTAGTTATAGAAACATATTTTTAAAATCATTGTTTAATGTATTTAAAACTATGAATGAGTTTACATGGCCATGCAAGGTAAGTCAGATTCCTGTGTATAACTTGCACATGCAGCAAAGCTACTGTGTCATCATCTCCTTGCATGTGTCCTCTCTTGGGTATAGGGGTAGATGCGTTACAAAAAAAATTCCTTTTTGCAGAAATGAAGAAAATGCATAGAGGTTGTGAGCCTTCTTGTCACAACTTCATGAAGTGAGCGGAAACAATCTGCTTATTTCAGGTAGACCTGAGCTTCCTTGTCTGGAAATCGTGTAGACATATTGGACATGGACAGGGCACGTTATGCCCTGAGCTCCTAAATCCTGAGAGAAACTGGGTTTACTAGTTCCTGATCAGCGTCACCCAAACACCAGCTGAGTTTTTGGATTGGAACCAGTTAAGTTACAAGTGAACGAAGCTCAAGTTTGCTTGCGGAAAGCCAGGTAGATGTGCTTACTGTGTTGCTCCTAGTCCTAGGCGTCATCCGAAGTGGTTATCTACACAGATAAGAAAAAAAGGAGGAAGAAAAGGGTTTTCTAGGGTTTTTTGGGAACTGATTCAAAAGATTCAATTTTAGTTCTGAACTTAGGCTTATTATGATATAAATGCTTGTATGTTTTCATCAGCATGAATTTACAGGGCATTTGCAACTGCAGTAACTGAATGCACTTTTTAAAGTTCAGGTTAGCCTACAAAATGTTCTCTGATATATGATAAATAGTGCTTACTCACAATATTATGATAAGTTTTCACTTAAATGTAAATTTATGCTTCTGTGATTATGTAATATGAAATACGTAAGGATGCCACAGAAGACTAAAATTTGGATCCTCTTTGTCTTAATCGAATCCTGCAGAAATCATTTGCCTACAGAGCAAGTTCAGCATAACAGATTGGAGGAATACACTACAGTGAAAAGGCAGTTTATTTTCTGTGCTTGTTTCTTTCTTAGCCTTCTGTTGAGACTAAGAGGTTATCAGCTGAAATGATGATTTTCAGTAAGAAGTGCTTGTAAAAGCTTGTTAAAACTTGAAATTTTAATTCCTGAATGTATGTCTTGGGAGAGTTATCCCTCGGTAACAGATTACCCTGAGCTATGTGTTTCGTAGTTAATTGGTGGGTCACTCTGCAACCTGACTCCTTTAGAACTCTTAGAGGCTTGAAATTAGTGTAGTGTATGTAGTATAATTCAGTTTGCACTGGGCTCTGATCATAAAATCATAGTTGACCATCTCTTTCTGAAGTTTCCAGATTCTTGGATAGTTTTAAGTGACGATTCAAGAATTGTGACGTGGTAGTTCTGAAAGGCTTAGAAAATGCTTGTGTGTGCATGGATCTAGCTAATTTAATTTGCATCGCAGTTCCCTTCTATACTGGAAAGAAGAGAGAACAATAACTATCTGGCAATTGGCTAGGTGTGTAGGAGCTCTAAGATTTATAGGACGAATTTGAATTATAATGATATGTGTCTTCTCTGAGTATAGAGGCAGATGCATTACAAAAAAATTCCTTGAATGATGGTGAATGATTCATTCAACAAATGAATTGTTGTATAGTTTTTTCTACTGCATTTCTACTACATGCACAAAAACATTTTTAATTGTGCTCTTAGGCTAGAGTATGATGGATTTATCAGGACTGGTTGTATTTCATTAAAATTCTTTCAAGATTCTTACCTCTTCTGGAAGCTAACTTCATTGACTACCCATGTCTGATGGGTCTTTGTACAGCAAGTTGGTAGTTTTCATAAAATTGAGTTAGGTTCAGTGGAGAAATTTTTCTAACAAAAAAGAAATAGAGATTGAAGGTATTGCTAGTGTTAGTTATGTTTTTATTCCATGATATTCCTAGGTCCCAGGCAGGTATAATCAGCATTTACTTATCAACATCTTAGCTCCCTGGAAATATAAAGTGAGTATGTTGGACTAGATTGTTCTTAGTCCTTACCTCAAGTCACATAGGTACAAATAAGAAATTTCTCCTGTGTTTGATTGGATTGCTGCCTCACATAGTTGCTGCAGGGCAAGAAGAATGGTAGAGTTACCAGAGGAGAAATCTTTGTTATGGCTCTCTGAGCCTCTGCCAGCCAACAGATGTGTCTGGGCGTGAAAGGGAAGGAAGATGCAGTCTGTAGAAGGGATGGCTTGTGAGCAATTTCTGCAATTGGAGAAGTATCTGCTTGTAATAGTGGTATGTTTGAATTATTGGTGTCATTAACAAATAGTATCCCCCATCTCCCACTGGAACCAATAAAAGATGGACCCAAATAACCAGCTGTAGATTATCCTTACCAGCAGCTTCATTTAGTTGTACCTCATGCCTGATACTGTTCTGAACAAACTAGTCTTTTGACACAGGACAGTGTAGTGCAGGAATAGCTGTGAGCAGAACTAGTTAGCCTTAACTGAATGGATCCCTGACACTGTAGGACCTCCTGAACCTGAAGACAGCTCAGGGAATGCTGTTTTACTCTGCATGGACGTGCCTTAATTACTTTAATAATGCTAGTCCCAGTGGTAGGCAGTGGGACTGATACTCCTGTGCCACTTAGGTTTGTTTGAAGTTTCCTCCCTTTTAAGGTATTTATAGAGAATGTAGAATGGTGTAAAAGGTGGCATAGATAAGACTGGCTGTGGTGAAGTAATATGTTATTCCTTTCCCCATTTCAGAAAGTGGGAACTTTGTATATGAGTTACTTTCACCCAGCCAGTAACCCAGAACGTGTCAGCCTTAATGATCTCCTTTTGGGTCTTTTGAATAAAAATTGATAATTATTCTGAGTTTTACCTTGTCAACCAGAGAAAGTTAAACTGAATTGGAAATATATAAAGAAAAAAACAGTAGCGCATGGAAATCTTTATCACTCTCATCCAGTGGGAAAGAAAAAAGTCCATGGTAAATGTTGTATTCCATTGAGTACTGTCAGTCCCAGTTTCCTCCTCAAAGAGCAGAACGCTTCAACTGTTGAATTAAAACAAAAAGGATAACTTCTTGTGTGTTATATGAAAATGCAGAGCTTAAGGGTATAAGACTATGTAAGAATGGTCACTGACATTTAAAATAAGCTGCTTGGAGTCTTGTTTTGATTTGCTATAGGAGAAGCATGTGATAGAATGAGTTTTGCTTTGGATGCATTCAGTTTAGCCTTTCAAAATCCTGTCATTCCCTGAATCCAGGGGCAGGGCAGGGTCTTGGAGTGCCGATTCACTAGTGTGTCCCGCTGTTGGTTTAGCCTTTTTAAGGCTGCTTAGCTTAAAAGGGCTGCCAAGCTCTTCTCCCACAGTGCTCCTCACAGACTCCGCTGCTAAGCAGGAGTCTGTGGGACTGGTGCTCCTTTTATCGCCGAGACTGGTGGTGAATGTAGGCACGGAATGCTTCATATCAGCAATACGATTGGTCAGTTGTGGATCCTTGTTCTAACTGGTCCGTTTCTGATCCCTTATTTAAATATTCCAGAATGTTCACTGTGACTGACAGCAGCAGCTGCTCCTGCCATGTGTTACCCATCCACCAATGATTTCAAATGCAAGTGGAGGGAAGCCTGGTGAGGGTCAGTTGTCCCAGCAGGGGACACACAGAGGGCATCCTTATTAACTTAACATGTATCCATCTAAATGGGGGCTTGTTAAACCATAACATTCTGCAAGGTCTTGTGAACACAGCATTTCTAGATCAATACATTCTTCAAGCCTGCTGCTTGTGTCCAAGTGCAGGAGATAGCCTTTGGTATAATTACTACCCCTAATTTCTGCTGTTCTTGTCATACTTGAAAAAAAATTTGCACAGGTTCAATATATTTTCCTTTGAGAAGGCAGATAATGTTCATATTATTCCTTGTAGTAAGTTCCTACCCAGAACATCTTCCAACAGCCCTCAGTATCAGCAGGGAAGAAGGCTGTGGGCCTAATCTTCATCTGGTATGAATTATTTACAGCTCTACTGAATCTGTGCTACATAGTGCACCACCTCTTTGTCTTCAGTGGATCTATAAAGTTTGTAGCAGCTGAGGATCCTGCTTCTCTTCCTCAGGTCAGAGAGGCAAATGAAGAAATGCATGTTTTGTGTACATACACGTGCTGGATTCTGAAATCACCTCTGCAATGTATGCTTGCACAGAAGCATCTCAAGTCCATATGTGCAGGCTTGAATTTTGATGTGTTTTTAAATATTTTGCCAAATCCTGGTATCTTATATTCATTCCCTGAACAAGTGGGATTCTGCAGAAGCATTTATTTTGTGTGGTGATAGTCCTAAGCTGGCTTCTTCGACTCCTTTCTAAAGTTGCCTTTCTCTTCTGTTATGTATAGAGGATACTTTGCTTTAGTTGCTCCTTATTTAAATGCCTTTAAGATGCCTAAAAAGCGTTTTGTCAATCTGTCTTTTATTGCCTGTTAGTGTATTTGTTGACATCCTCTCAATAGATAAATAGTCTCAAGCCTTTATAGCAATTCGGGAATCTTAACCCCCTGGCAACACAGAATTACATGGCTACCCCAGATTCACTTTTACTTTTTAAAATGCAAGTGAATCTGAATGGGTATTTAACAAAAGCAGCCTTGAGGACAGAATCTAGTATCCACAGCTGTGATGGAAGGCTTGGTCTAGGGGAAAAGCTAGGACAACAGGTTTTATTGGGCAGTGGGTGTAAGGTGTCAGTCACCTGTGCTTTCTGTGACCCCGGCCAGCCTGGGGAAACCTCCTGCTGCCCCAGTTTAACACCCTGGCGGAGGGCTAACAGGTGCCCTGGGCTGTTACCTGTCAATCATGCGGAATGTTCCAGAAGGAGGGCGGGTCTGCACGGGCTCGGGAGCGGACCAATAAGAGCGGGGTCCAGACAAATTCGACCAATCACTTGCCTCCAGTCCCAAAGCGGGGGGGGGTAGCTATAAAAGGGGCACGTGCTGCAGCAGCACCAGCAACGTTTCTGTGACTTGGCCCACGGA